GGGGGGGGGATCGATTAGCTTTTTTTTGGCTCCAGACTGAGAACGCAACCCAAGGATGCGCCTCTGCCCACCGAGGGAATCGCTTGGCAAGACGCTGAGACAACGGGGAAATAGTATTTTACACCAAAAAGTGAGAGGAGTGATGCTGCCCGGGTGTCCCTCTGGCTGGAAACGGACTGTCCCTTGTGTCCTGCAGGTTAAAAATGGTGGCGGCGCGCCCCCTGTCGCTTGCTGTCCCCAATTTTGGAGGGCTTCGCGGGAGGGGGGGGGACACACATCCCAAATCCCTCCGGCGAGATGCCGTGACCCCCTTCTTCTGGGGCCCTTCAGAAGGGCACCTGCAACTGTTGCCTTTCATTTACGGAGGGCCGGAGAAATCTTGTCACAGCTTCCTAGTCAAGGGGGTTTATCTGCCTCTCCCTGGGTGGCCTTCAGCCCCTCCTTCTTCTCTGCAGACGTGCAAGCGTTCCTATGATTTTTTTTTAAGCCTTCCAATTCGGCACCTACCGCGCCCCTTGCAGAGGGCTGTGCATCATTCGCGTGCGCGAAGAGACCGAACTGGCTGTTGAGGCTGCCTGACACACTGAGACAACGCAACGGTGGCCAAAGGATAGGAGCTGCTTGTTTGTTTGTTTTTCTTTTCATACAACGCAACTACATGGTCCGGGCACGCTGCTGCAGGATTTTCTGGGGGCCAACAGGGTAAATGGGTTCAAAAAGGGCATAGGTGAATTCGTACAGGGTAGGTCTCCTAGTCACAGTGTCCCAGCGAATGCCTTCTCCACTCCTCTCCAGAAGAGAGAAGAGTTTTTCCCAGGGAAGGAATACTCTGCATGTGCCCTGTGTCTTACTTTCATCCATTAATCACCTGCTGTGGGTCCCTGTCCAAAACAAGGTCCTGGGCTAGATTCATCTGACTTTGTGTAGTCTCTCTTACATCCCTCTCCACCCCTAAGTTCTGCATTTCTCTCCAGTTGTCCTTGTCTCCCTGGCTATGGACAGAGCCCAGGCTGATTTTATTCCTGATTTAGGCACCTTAGCTTTATGCCTAACAGTAAGTGTGAACTTGTGCCTAAGCCTCTACCTTCAGGATGGGTCGGGATACAGAGACTATTATCTCAAATCCTATGCATTTTAACAGGGCTTTTTGTTCCTTTGGAATATCCCATAGCAGAGTGAAAAGACTTAGAAAGGGAGAATTCAGTAAAATTAGCAAAGTTTCTTCCAGATACTGCTAATACCATTAGTTCAAAGATCCTATCCAGTCAGCTTCTCATTTGCAGTTAACTTCAGTCATTTAGGGCAACCTGTGGTTAGTTTTAGCATCATTTTTTCCCCTGCGGACACAAAGTGCAGGATGTGAGCATGTATTTTCAACGTTGCTGGATTTAACAGTGAAATTCCTATTGAATTCCATGGGAAGAGGAGAGAGGCCATACGGAGAATTTCCTAGTGCCAATAAACTCACCTGCCTTCAGGCCTTGACCCTGCATAGGCACAGATGTGAACATACTCTAAGTCTGTCACCTCACCAGGAACAGTCACAGGAGGCAAATGCACATACAAAGCTTTGCAGGCTCAAGAATTACTAGTCCAAGTCTCTCACTAACCACTACTTCGTATTAAGTGTGGTTTCCCTTCTGGTTAGCAGGACTTTGAATTTTTCTGCCACAAAAGATGATTTTTTTCTACCTCCAGTCACCTTCCCACGCACGGACATTTTGCAAAGTGACAAAGGGGAATTACTTTCACAAGAGTCCTGAACTGTTCATTCAAATTTTTGCCTAAGATAATCTACTTTCAGGCTGTGCCTGGGCTATAGTGGATGTTCCCACTGCTGTTGCTCCAGTCCTGTCACTTAAATCAAGCTTTTCCTTCTTGGTCTTATTATTCTTGGGTTATTACATGAAGCACCTCCCATGAAGGTGCTTCATGGACTTTCCCCACTATCCAAATCTCTCTCATTCTTCCTCATGTTAAAGATCACTTACTTGGTCCTGAAACCTTTATAAGCAAAAGAAGTTGCCTGCAACATGAATGACCTTTCAGTGCAGTGTGAGATGTGGAGAGGCTCTCGGAAGCCCTCCTGCTTCCCCTCACACAGAGCTTAGCAGCAGCCTGCTCCACTACTAAACCTGGTCATGGGCTGCCTTCTGATGTTTATACATGGAAATCATAAATTCAGAAGAAAACTACTTTTTCTGTCCTAAAGATCCTTCTCTCTCTACCAAGATTTTGTGGTTCATTGCTTGGTTGCAGCAGGCAATTTCAAGAGCCATCGCAGCCTGAGTTCTGCACCCCCTGCAGATCGGCATGGAGGTCTGCTTAAAAGTCATGATCCAATTCATCCCAAGAGCATCAGCAACCGATGCTTTGAAGAGAGGATCAAGTAGATCCCTGTAGGTTCTCATACTGCACACTCTGCAGAGTGGACTCACTCAGGACCAGAGAAAGGATCAACTAAGTGTGCTGGGTGGAAGACAAATGCACCAGGAACTTTCAGAGGCCTTTTTCCTCCTTATGCAAGCTCCTCTTTCAGCAGCCCAGGGGACTTCTGACTGTTAATCTCTGTTTTCTTTTCCCTGTTTTGCATAGAGGGTTGCTGAGGTCTACATCAACGGATATGATGGATGCAGTGCCAGAGAGTCACCTGGAAAGTGAAAGAGCCGTAATACTCATCCTG